TAGTTCTTCAGCGCTAAGGTTGGGGGAGCATTGATTTTGCAGCGAATCTGCAAAGATCTCTGCTTTGTCCGAATCTAGCGAGTAGAGTTTGTTCCCTTGTTGAAGGGGGGGGAGGGAAGGCCGTTTGTTACGGAGTTTTTTAACGACCTTCCAAGCATTTCTTGGGTGGGACTCTGCCTCGGCTATGAATTTGTTAAATTCCTTGTTTCGGAATTCGAAGACTTTGGATTTGACTTCCCTTTCAAGTGAGTTAAGATGAACTTTAAGTTCGGGGGTTCTCCTTTTTTGCCAGAGTTTCTGGACTCTTTTCTTCTCCTTGATGAGACGCAGGAGGTCGCGAGGGAGTTTGAGTGTGTGTTGGGGAGCTGTGGTTGTTGTGGTGGCTTCGTGTGTGCATTTGTTGAGTTCGTCAGTGAATTCGTCTACTGCTATGTCGAGTTCCGTTTGGGACCTGATGGGACGACATTTAAATGGGAAGGATTCGAGGTTATATGCAAGGTGGACCCAGTCTATGCAAACCTACTCTCGTCGCACTTCTACATGGTGTTTGCAGAAAATAAGGGTATACTAAGACAGACTATATTTTATGACAAAGTAATTTTTTTTAAGATCTAATTAATAAAACTTTTTCTTGAGTGTCATATTATTACATATAAATAGTTTAAGCGTACCAAAAAATGTTATTTTCGATGTATCATCTTCATAGTCAACTTTAGTGTCACGCCTAAAACGGGCGAAATGCCTCATTTAAGACATATGCGTCAAACGAGTGCTACTACAGCTTGATAAAATATTTTTTTTATTTTCTCTTGAATGTTTACCACAATCAATTTGTGGAGTTTTATCTAGCTAAGAGATAAAGGAATATTAGGAAATTTTTTGACAAATGAATTTACCAGTTATGATTTTCTCTTCCTATCCCACTATACCTGCAACTTTTGCGTTGTCCCACTATACCTCATTTTTCCTTTGTAGAACAAGGGTTTAAAAGAAGTTAGAAGAATTTTTATTATTATCATAGAAAAGAGGTAATATTTTTACAAATTGTTAGTAACTCACCATTGGTAGATTAATATAGGTATAATACTTTTTAAAAATTTTACATACTGTTTGAATTTATTTCGTCCCAATTAAAAAGCATAGTTCAAATAAATTTCGTCAGATAACATAATTTTTTTAACATATTTATTTTATAAGTAAATCAGTATTAAACACTCATTGCATTATTACACCATTGAATATTGAAGATGAAATCATTCTTTTTGTTGTCCACTTAGAATAGTAAATAAGTATTGATGTTTGTCGATATTACATATTAAAATTACAATCATAATTTTTTTTTAAAAATTGATCAGTTCTGTAACAAACTACGACCATAAGTTTTACATAACTTTTCGTGAATATACTTTGAAGGTCACATAATTTTGGAACGTTATTATTACGTTGTAATTAAGTATAATGACTAACATTACAAAAGTTCAAAATACGATGTTTCATTACTAACGCATTCTTATGCAGTGTAAATTTGCTAGAATGATATATAGTTGTGTGTTTAGGTAGCATAAAGACGAAAAAATGGACTCTGATAGTGTAAAAGTAGGCAACAAAAAAATTAATGTGTTAGTTATGGATTCGACATATAATTTTAAATAACCGATTCATCTAGAATTACCTAGAATCTCTGACAGCGATTTTTGCTTAACTTATTTTATGAATTAAATAATGAAAATCTAAAAAAAATCCATCTAGAAATAAACGTAATTATCAATTTAATTGGTAACATTAATTACAATAGTTTTTCTGACAACATCCAGATTAATACTACAATTAACGGTACAACATAATAAATAGATACCATGAATGTTGTACTTGGGAAACGTTGACATTGTGATTTTAAAGTAATATATTTTCTAACAATATTTGCTTTTTCTTCAGTCATTGTATTATACTTCTCCTTTAAAGCTGCCAATTGTTCATTTATTTCTTGCAACTGTTGAGTTTCGTTTTCTACTTCTTCATAATACTTTTCAAGTTTAGCTACAATGACATCATTAGATTCATAAAAAAGCCAAGATTTTAGATTTTGTAGCTCCTGTATAATATTTTTATTGGCATAAAAATAATCTTTTGGTAAAAACTTTGTTGATACTAAATTTTGAAGCACAAATTGCTTAGAGCATTTACCAAGAAGTTCATTCTTGATGACTAATGGTTTAGAAGCATTGAATATATATTTATTTAAGGTACCGGTACGTTTAGTTCTTAATTCACCTTCATCAAATAAAATATCTTCAATAATTTTAATTCTCTCAGTTTCTTTTGTAACTTTAGAACTTGTTTTTGGTACTGGTTCACAGAAAATTTCAGAATCATATTCTGTGATGAGTTCCTTATTTTTAGATTCATTGATATCTGATGATTCCTTTTCATTATTACTCAGATTACTCATTAGTACATTGTTTTGATTATAATTATTACTCAAATTACTTTTACTTTCACGAAAAACTGATTCCTTTTTTCCATCAGTAGAAAATTCTTTTGCAGGATATAGTAAAAGAATATTATTTTTAGGTTGCGGTATTGTATTCAATACAAAATTAATTTTTTTATTTCCAGAAAATGAGCAGAATGTATGTTTACTAATCAACAAGTTACCATGCAAATCATTATTCTTAGAGTCATCTTTAATGCCAACAGGGTTTGAAAATTTTTCAATTTTTTCTGTTAAATTAATTTGATCATTCATGTTTATTAGATTTTGATTGTTTATAACTTTAATGTAAATTGAATTCCATTTGTTAAGAATGACATTTATAGTATCAACAGGTTTTGCGTACTTCTTAAAATCATAGGCCTTATCACTTAACAATTTCATATCATGTATAGTTTGCACATAATTCTTCAATGCATATATTTGTTCATGAACATATACATAATCTAATTTAGAATCTTCTAAATTTGTTTGTAAATCATTCCCAACAGTTTTGAGGTCTTCAAGTTTTATTAAAAAATCTTGTTTATCTTTTTCTGATTGTTGGATTATTTCTTTTAATTTGACTTTAGTGATATTTAGTTTTTCTGTAGTATCTTCCAATGTTTGTTGAACCCTTACGTATTTTACAGCTAGCTCTTGTAATTCGTTTTGGTTATTTCTGATAGTATTGCGTAAGCTTTGTGTTTCTTCTTGAGATTCATTTAAACGTGATTTCAGTAATTTTATTGTATTGACAATTTCTCTTTTTTCTTGAACCTTTTTTTGCAATAATTCTTTTGTAGCATTCTGATACTGTGTTTTATCTTCCAATAAGTTTATTGATGTCATTCTTAACTGATCATCTCCATAATTTTTAGAGTATGCTAATACCTGGTTTTCTAGCGTCTCTAAGCGAGACAAAAGACAATCTTCTAAAACCAAAGCTTTCCATGACTGATTGATAGCAATTCTCGTAGATTCTAATAGCTGTTGCATGTATTCTAGTTTGGAACGCAGAGCATTTTCTCTTCGTCCAGCTTCTTGAATGAGTTGATGTAACTTATAAAGATCTTCTAATGTAACATTCACATATGCAATAGAATTAGTAAAAGAGGCTTTGGCTTCTTTTCCATCTGGTAAGTATAACTTTAAGGTTGCAACAATGCATCCGTGAGTAACTTTTTTGGTGCTTTCAACAACATCAACACCAAACTGTACAACATCACCAGAACAAATTTCAAATGCAGATGACTCTTCACCAGATGGACTCAGACGTTTATTGTTAACAAACGTACCATTACTACTTTTGGTGTCTTTCAAATAGAACTTCCCAGAATCATGCCATAGTAGTGCATGGTTTCTTGACAATACCTTACAATCGAATATAGCATTGTCATTAGCAGCCCTAGCTCGAGCAACAGACCGACCAATTTTAATAGGCTGTTCTAAAGACAACGTTCGTTCTTGAAATGGATAAGAATTATCATGACATATTAAAATTCCAGTGGCAGACATAATTTTTTCTTGATTAATGTTAGAAACATTTTGAATCCAATTGTTACTAGCTATGACCATAGCAATGACGTACTTCAAGTTCAATTCCAACTATTGCAAAAAATACTTAAACTTATTCTTGCTTTGCAGTGGCAATTAACTTAGTAATTCAACAACGATAAATCTCAATAATAAAGTTAGCATGCCCAGAGTGCACATATGTAACATATCTCTAAAGTTAATATTTAAGATTGCTATTGCGCGTACTTATTTTGCAAAAACGCTTTCACAACATACACCTACGAAATTATTGAAGAAGGATAACTAAATTGTAAGTTACTATATTTACATATTTAAAAAAAATTTTTTTTCTTGACAGCCACCTCCACTTCCAAAGGTGCCAAAGGAGGTACTCAGCCAAAGTCTCAATCTGTGAATCTGTAGTGTCATGACCTGGCTCACTGTCACAAGCTATAGAGATGTAGATGGTACTCTCCGTCTTTTCATAGTTCTCATCTTCGCAATGGTCCGGGGTAGTGAGTCTGTCACCAGGGGACCAGGGAGCTATTCACTATTCACATAGACATTTTTTGCTTATTTCATTGTGAGCGTTTATGTTAAAAAGGGGGTTCCACTGTTCCGCTGAACTCAAAGTGAGTGAACAGACTGAACAGACATGTATGTTGACTGACAGAGAACACAGTATAGGTCTGTTCAGTCTGTTCACTCAATTTGAGTTTAGCGGAACTGTGGAACCCCCTTTTCAATTTAAACGTTCACAATGAAATAAGCAAAAAATGTCTATGTGAATAGCTCCCTGGTTAGGCACTAAAGTGCCAGTGCCAGGCCAGGTCGATCGAATATTCCGAGGTCAGTCCCAGCGTGCCTGGGGCCTGGGGTCTGATCAGGGCATTCGATATCTCGCTTAAGGAAGCATTTCTATCAATAATCCCTATAAAATAACCAAAAATAACAATAATGCGCATGCGCAGTTTAGGAATTATCGAAAAAACTGCTTACTTATTACTTAAGCGAGATATCGAATGCCCCGATCAGACCCCTGGGTCTTCGGTAATTTGAATAAGTACAGTTCCTACACAGTAAAAAATATCGTAGTAAAATTACTACGTTTAGCATAGGAAATAATTCGACCTATGCTGAGCGTGGTATACCAACAATAAATATATATATTTACTACAGCAGTAGTAAAAATTCTACTGTGATAGTAAATTTACTTCCCACTTTGTAAGGCTAGAATTAAAAAGGGGAAGTATTATCTGAGTTGTTTTTTTACTATTCCTATAGTAAATATATTGAAGTAGTGGTAAGTATGCAACGTATGCACTAGATGGCATGACCGCAATCGTAGTAAAATCAATTTAATCAATACGCATAAAAAGAAATCTTAAATTTAAAGTATTGTACTTTCACACATGAAAATAAAGAAAAATATTTTTAATTTATGTAATCTTATAAATACTCAAAGTAACACTTAATTTTGGCGCATAATGTAAATTACATTTAAATTTTTTTAAATTGCGTTTGAAGTCTTTTGTTCAATGAGATTTTGTAACTGTTAATACTAAGAATGACTTATTTTTTGTAAATGCTTAGATTTATTGCTGCGCTACTTTTTATTTAAGGAGATCGATCACAGCACCGATTGATTTGTGAACAATGTGAAAAAGCAAAAACAGAATACCTCATGGTTCTTTACCCCATGACTTGCTTGAGAATTATGAATATCTGCACTTTTTCAAATTACTACTCCAATAGTAAACTTTACGATGTGAATAGGTATTATACTTGGCGAAGCATAATTAACTGTGAGACAGTTGTAATTTTACTTATTTGGTAGTAAATTTGGTTACTATTGTGCGTAGTACAATTACTACGTTCGGCATAGGTCGGATTATTTCCCATGCTAAGCATAGTAAAATTACAACAGTAGTAGTAGATTTACAAGAAGTTTAGTGAGAACACTACAAACTAGTACTTTTACATCGCGGAACGAAGGAATTTTTACTAGAGGAATAGTAAATCCACTTAAGTCATTTTTTACTGTGTATGGGGTGGTCAGTGAATTTGTCCCAAAACTCTTGCGAGTCGTGTTAAAAGTCACGTTGGCCGCTTGTTTGTCTTAAGTCGTCCTTAAATTGGTTTGAACGAAACTGCTGTTTTGGAAATCCCTTTTAAGATATGAGAGGCCATCAATTCGGTAAATTTGGTTAAGGTGAGTCATGCTAGTAGTCAAGCAGGCCACTTGTTTACTCGAAAGGCCCATTATTTCAAAGGTCAAGTTTATTTTCGTTTTAGACCAAGAGCTGAAACCAGAGGGTGGTCAAAATTTTAACCAGCCGCCACTCTCACCAGAATTCAGGAATCTGATGATTTGAGGAGATCCGAGATATTTCGGTCATATTTCATAGTGGTACAGATTTATGTGGTAATTATAGTAGTGCTGTATGGTCTTTTTTATTAACCAGCCGTAACTTTCACCAATAGATAGAAAATAAAAAGTGGTCATTTGCGACAAGATTAGAATGCATCTTGTAACCGAAAATCGACCTTCAAAAATATAGACTCCCTACCCTATCTTATCCACAATACTCATCTAAGATAATAGATAAGGAATTTCAGATAACATTATAGATAAGAATACAATATCTATATTTTTCGAGGTTGAGTTTTGTGTGCAAGATGCATTCTAATTTTGCCGTAAATGGCACTTTCAGTTAACCACTTTTTATTTTCTATGTATTGGTGTAAGTTACGGCTGGTTAATAAAAAAGACCATACGGCACTACAATAATTACCACATAAATCTGTACCACTATGAAATATGACCGAAATATTTTGAATCCCCACGAATCAAAAGGTTCCTCAATTCTGGTGAGAGTGGCGGCTTGTCAAAATTTTGACCACCCTTCGGCCTTAGCTCTTGGTGTATTTGGGGTGAGTCATGGTAGTAGTAATGCAAGTCACTTGTTTACGTTAAGAGCCTAGTATTTTGAAGGCCAAGCTTGCTGATGCCTGAAACAAAAGAAAATCGATTCCCAAATTCTCGAAAAGCTATTGCATAGCTAGGAATAAATTTTCCTTATTTAATATTTTGATCCAAATTATTGCTAGTATTATAATTGTCATTATCCGGAATTTTAGTATTATTTAAATAATTTAATTTTCCACGCCAGGGCGAGAAAGCGCTAGAGTCGCCTACACCTACGGACAAGATCATTTCTTATAAACAGCCCACCAGTGCTTCGATATCGCACTGAGAACTCGCACACACTTCTGCGCAGAAAGTCTCTCACTAACTACGCGCTTCCTGCCGCCCCTCTCTCGTTTGTAATGTGTGCTACTCGTATATATAGCTATATAGAAGAGTTTATACGTAATATCATTGATGTATTGTACATATAGCATTTACATACGTAAAGACACATATTATATATTATATGTTCTTCTGAATTAGAAAATTGATCTATAATAGGGCGCTTTTTATATTGTGTATATATATATATATATATGAGCTTGCCGATTTTGAAAGAAATAGTAATAACTATTTTTGGGTGGTCTTATAATTATTAAAATTATGTAAAATTGTGTTTTAAAGTTTGTTTTGCTTATATCTTTTAACGGTTTGATGTACAGAAAAAAAAACACCAGCGCGTAGGGCGAAAAATTTTCTATTAACAAGTAAATTTAATTTTGCTTTGACTGGCGCAAAATGTTAAGAAAAAAATGAAAAATTCATATTGGCAGTACCTGTAAACTCTACTGAAACAAACCACGTGGTTTCACCTTTGCATAGATAACCATGTGGTTTACAGAACTACGTGGTTTTTCATAACAATGTGGTTTTTACAAATAAACATATGGTTTTTCTTCAAAAAACCACTTGGTTTTTGTGAGCCATGTGGTTTTTCTAAAAAAGCTACGTGGTTTTATACATCTATATTGTTCTACTAATTACTTTTACAATATTTGAGGAAATAGCAAAGTATACAGCTTTTTTTAACAATTATCGTGAAATAAAGAATAACATATTTATGTTGTTTTTCCAACATCACCAAATAACCAAGAGAATCAAATAGACTAATAGAACCAAATGACATATAAGATTAGATTAATTAGAACTGAGATTCAACAGAACGTTACTGAAAATCATGTTTGGTGATCGATACAAAATAGCAAATGACTATTTTATTAATTAAGTACTTACATTAATAATTCAAGTTTAGATCAAAATTAAAATGGAAATGTGTAGTGACGTGGGTCAAATAATAGAATTACAAATTATGTAGAAGCAATTACTATAAATTTGCAATTAGTTTACATATCTACAATTTTTAAGAATTGACATCATATGGAATGGTATGATAAGTAGAACTTATTTTTTTTTTTAAAAATACAGTATTATTTTATGTAAGATAAAAATATTCAGAATTAATTTGAGATCTTTTGAATAATGGGAATGCTAGTTAAACATCAAGTAAGTGAATTATGTGAAATGAATAGTAATTAATAAATAAGCTTTTAGCCGTTACAATAACGATTAAGAAATTATTCGTCTATTTAGCCACTTGTAAAAACTACAAGTAAAAGCTAGGGGTACTTTGTTTGTATGTGTTTACCATGTGACAAAATTTATTTTACAAAATAAAAGAACTTTAGCGTTTGTTTGTACACTTAAGTGTACTTAATTAAGAAATGGTAAGACGCGTACAAAAGTAAGAAAGCTCAAATCGAAACACCCTAATCTTGTTAACTCATACAAGCAGCTCTGAGTAAGAACGAACCCGTAACAAAATTTCTGCGCGATATCAGGCAAGATATCCTACACGATATCTTACAAGATATGCTACACGAAATCTTATAGGATATCGTGTAAGACTTCTGGCACGATAGTCTACATGATATCCTACACGATATTGAGCAAGATTTTCGGCAACGAAAAAATAGAAAAAGTATAAATTGTAACTCACGTAATTTAAAATTTTTTCTGCTTAAAAGCTGTTAGAAAAGCTAATAGAAGTAGTAAAAAAAAAAAAATATCTTTTTGCTCCAGTTACGGGATTTGACCCTGGTCCGGAGAACTCGTAGTCGAGTGTCTTACCCACTTGGACAGAGTGGATAAGACACTCGTAAAAAATTTACGTCGTTATGAGGTACATCTGAAACTTATGTTTATTATTTCATCATTTCGTGAATAAAATTTACCACCTTGGTTACCTAATTGATAATTAACATCTTATAAATGTACATTTTATATTGTTTCGTGTCTCTTAACACGTTCGTCAACAATAAATCTAGTAATTAATTTAACAACTACTTTTCGTTCACGGATTTCACGTATACTTTACATAAACTTTTCATTCCAAAGGAAA